CGGCCGTTGCAGTCTCCCTGGCAGACCCCTCTGGGGGTCCTGTCCTCTCTCACTTCTCCACTGTCCTCCCGTGTCCGGCTGCCCCCTCTGGCACCTTGTTTGGTCTTTACCTCCCCTTGTTCTCTACGAACTTGGTGAGTGGTGCTGACCTGCAGGATGCGGGGGTTCACCAGTTTACTCCTGCGAGTCAGCGGGTGACCCACTGCTCGGACGCTCGCACAGGCCGGCACCTGACCACATTTACGCATCGGCCGGGGTCGAGCCTCTACACCCTGACCACTGGGTCTCCTCCTGTCCCTGCGTCTAGCCAGGTAGCTGCGTCGGGTCAGGTGTTTGCTGCAGCGTCCAGGTCTGGTCCTGAGTCTGCCCCCTGCTCAGTGTCGCCTCCTGTCTCACGAGACTCTCCTGTGGCACCACCGTCTTGGTCACCCCTCCCTGCCTCGTCTCCGAGGCATGGCTTTCCCGTGTCCTTGTCTCTGGTCTCCCCCAGTCCTCCCTCCCCTTCCTCCAGGGCCTGGTCTTTCCTGTGTTCCCTGTGTCGAGGGGCGGCTCCGGGCTGCCCCTCACTCCTCTCAGTTTCCCCTGACAGAGGCCCCGCTGTAGACGCTTCACATGGAGGTGTGGGGCCCAGCCCGCGTCCGTGGACAGGGTCACGAGCGCTACTTCCTACTGGTGGTTGAGCGACTACTCGCGTTACACCTCAGTCTTCCCTTGCGCAGCAAGGGTGATGTCACTGAGGTGTTGATCGACTGGATCCGCGCAGCTCGTCTCCAGCTCAAGAGGAGCTTCGGCTCGGAATTTCCTGTTCTGCGTCTGCACTCTGACCGAGGCGGAGAGTTCTCCTCTGGCCTTCTGCGAGCCTACTGCCGTGCGCGAGGCATCCGCCAGGACCTTTACGCTTTCGGAATCTCCACAGCAAAATGGGATTGTTGAGCGCCGCATTGGCATGGTCATGGACGGTCGCTCGTACGTCCATGATGCATGCGGCTGCCCCCCATTTTCTGTGGCCGTTTGCGTTTCGGTACGCGGCGCATCAGATCAACCTTCGCCCCAGGGTCTCCATGCCGGAGACCTCCCCAGCTCTGCTATGGACGGGGAAGGGTAGGCGATGCGTCTGCGTTCCGTGTCTGGGGATCTCGGGCGTTTGTCCGCGACTTGTCTGCGGACAAACTGTCCCCTTGTGCTGCTCCTTGTGTCTTCCTTGGCTTCCCCCCTGACGCACCAGGGTGGCAGTTTGAGCCCCTCCCCCCTCAGGGTCCAGCCCCTTCAGGTGTGTCCAGGTAGACGCAGTCGAGCCGGTCGAGGTTGCTGGTGACTCTAGTACTGCTGCGGGTGCTGAGCCTGGGGGTGCTGACTCTGGGGGTGCTGCGCGAGTGGGTGCTACGACTAAGGGAGCGGAGCCTGGGGGTCCTTCGCCTGGGGGTGCTACGTCTGAAGCTGCTGAGTCTGGGGTGCTGCGTCTGGAGCTGCTGAGACGGGGGGGTACTAAGTCTGGAGCTGCTGAGCCTTGGAGTGCGGAGCCCGCGGTCCGCTGGGAACCTGCTTGTGTGGCGTCTGGCGGTGCTGGGCCTGGTGGTTCTCCGGGTGCTTCGTCTCGGCGGGAGCCACTCTCTCCACAGGAGCTACGCGAAGTGGTTTGCCCGACGCTGGAGGCGTACTGCTGGAGCTGGTGCTTCTTCGGCTGCTGAGGGTGCTGGTGCCGCCGGTCTCGGAGGTTCTAGCCCTGGGAGTGCTGGAGCTGCTGGGCCTGCGCGTGCGACTGGAGGAGGAGCTGCTGAGGGTGTTCGCGCTGAGGCTACTGCTGTAAGTCTTAGCCGCAATCCTGCTGCGAGTGTTGCTGGTGCTGCTGGAGGTACTGGAGCTGGAGGTGCTGTTGGCGCTGGTGCTGCCAATAGGGGTGCTGGTGCTGTCCCTACTGTGTCTGGAGTCGCCAGCGCCGGCCTCGGCCATACTTTGTTCCGCTCCTTCAGCAGGTTCTTGGTCTTCCTCCTTCCTTAGAGTGTCCACCGCCTGTCCAGTCACAGTCACAGTTACCGCCGGCCTCCCCACTCCCTGCTCCTTCTCCCTACACTGGTCCTACTGGAGGTCTTGCTGAGCGTCGTGAGCCTGCGTCTCGCCCTGCGTCGCCGGTTCATGCTGCTCGCGCTAGTGGTCGCGGTTCGCGTCAGCGTCCTCCTCCTGTCCCTGGCACGCACTGGATGTCTCTGCGTCCGTCCACTGCTCCTCTGCGTGCCCCTTTGCCTTCTCCTCCTGAGTCCTCTCTTCCTGCCCTTGCCGACCCGGAGTCGGACTCTCTTCGTGCTGCCAGTCCTACTGTCACGCGTCTCCTTGCTACTGTCGTCACTAACCCCTCTTTTGAGTCCACTGCTGCGTCTGCTCTTGTTGCTGAGCTCGTCGACTTTGCTGCTCGCTGTCGTCTAGACTACGTTGCTAGTCTCGTTGCTGAGTCTGCGTCTATCTGCCCTCCGTCCGTCGGGGGTGAGTGTGCTCTTGGCACGGACGTCCTTGAGGATAGGCAGGAGGAGTTTCAGTGTCTGGCTGCTGCTTCACCTCATCTCGTGTCCGTACTGCTTACTCCTGAGGGAGACCCGGATGCACTTGACATCCCGACTCCGCGCTCTTACGCGGAGGCCGTAGAGGGTCCCTACTCCTCTCAGTGGCAGGCAGCTATGGATGCAGAGATGGCTTCTTGGAAGTCCACAGGCACCTACGTTGGCGCTCTCCCCCCACCTGGGGCGAACATCGTCAGTGGCATGTGGATCTTCAGGGTGAAGCGGCCGCCGGGCTCTCCGCCTGTCTTCAAGGCGCGGTACGTGGCTCGTGGCTTCAGTCAGCGGCAGGGAGTTGACTACTTTCAGACCTTCTCTCCCACCCCCGAAGATGACCACTCTTCGGGTGCTGCTACACATAGCCGCTCAGCGTGACTACGAGCTTCACTCCCTTGACTTCAACACTGCTTTCCTGCAGGGTAGCCTGCACGAGGAGATCTGGCTGCGCCGTCCACCTGGCTTCACTGGGACTTTCCCTCCTGGCACCCAGTGGAGCCTCCGACGGCCAGTCTACGGTCTCCGCCAGGCACCACGCGAGTGGCACGACACACTGAGGACTAAGCTTGCGGCTCTTGGGTTTGCTCCCTCTATTGCTGACCCGTCGCTGTTTCTGCGCACCAACACCTCTTTGCCGCCGTTCTACATCCTCGTGTACGTCGACGACTTGGTCTTTGCCACTGCTGACACTGCTGGACTCGCCCACGTGAAGTCCGAGCTGCAGAAGAGACACACGTGCACAGACCTGGGTGAACTGCGCAGCTACCTTGGCTTGTGGATCACCCGGGACAGAGCACGCCGCACCATTACCTTGACTCAGTCACACATGGTGCAGCAGGTCCTTCAGCGCTTCGGCTTCACATACTCCTCACCTCAGGCCACTCCTCTGCCTACTCGCCACTCGCTCTCAGCTCTGCCTTCGGATGAGTCCGTAGAGTCGAGTGGCCCGTACCCAGAGCGTGTTGGCTGCCTCATGTACCTGATGACCTGCACACGACCTGACCTTGCATACCCTCTTAGCATTCTTGCACGCTATGTTGCTCCTAGGAGACATAGACCAGAGCACATGGCTGCAGCGAAGAGGGTGTTGCGCTACGTGTGCAGTACGTCGGGCATGGGGCTAGTGCTTGGAGGGCGGAGTCCAGTGGTCCTCACTGGACACGCGGACGCTTCTTGGGCTGACAACCAGGCTACGCAGCGGTCGTCACAGGGTTACACCTTCAACCTTGGTTCCGGCTCTGTTTCGTGGCGGGCTACTCGCTCGTCTTCTGTTCTCGGCTCTAGTTGTGAGGCCGAGATCTACGCCGGGGCCATGGCTGCACAGGAGCTTTGCTGGCTCACCTACCTGCTGACCGACCTTGGAGAGCCGCCTCGTTCTCCTCCAGTCCTGTACGTAGACAACAAGGCCATGCTGGCCTTGTGTGGAGAGTTGAGACTGGAGCACAGAACAAAGCACATTGCTCTTCTTTACTTCCTTGCTCGTGAGCTACAGCAGGGTGGTCAGTTGCGGCTTGCGTACGTGGCCTTTGAGGCCAACACTGCTGATGTTTTCACCAAGGCACTTGCGCCTTGTGATCATCAGCGCTTCTGTACTCAGCTTGGTCTTGTGCCTGTCTTGCCTCACTTGCTCACTTCTTGACCTTGCTTGTACTGTCACATATATATACACCTGCTCTTATTTGCTTAGCCTCTTATATATATATATATGTACTCCTGCATGTGAACTGGCCTTCTGGCCTTGAACTTGTGCTCGGAATGTGTGGTGACTTTGTGATCCACCCTGAGCTTTGCTTTGCTTTGCTTGACTGGTCTTGTGACCCCTTGTTCTCCCCCACTTTGCCTATGGGGGTGTGTCAAATTATAATGTTGTCTAGGCTTTAGTGGGGTAGCACATATGGGGTACACATTTCTAGGGTTGCATATTTGTATCACTTTCATTCCTCAGTCATTTCATTCTCGTTCTAATTTCCTCAAGGCACACTCTCACGCACTCTCTCTCGCGCTCTCTCTCGCGCATTCTCACCACGTTCTCTCTCTCACGCGCACTCTCACGCGCTCTCTCACGCGCTCTCTCACGCGCTCTATCAAGGCGCACTCTTAGGGGCACTCTCAGGCACTCTCTTTTGCGCTCTTTTTCCCGCACGCTCACGCGCATTCTCTCTCTAACGTCCTTCACTCGCGCACTCTCACGCACATTCTCTCTCTCAAACGCCCTCTCACGCGCATTCTCTCTCTTACGTCCTTTCTCTCGTGCACTCTCGCGCACATTCTCTCCCTCAAACGCTTTCTCACGCGCACCCTCACACGCTCCCTCACACGCTCTCTCACGCGCTCTCACACGCGCTTTCTCACGCGCTCTCACACGCGTTCTCTCACCCGCTCTCTCATGCGCACTCTCACGCGCTCTCTCACGCTCCCTCACGCGCTCCCTCGCGCACTCTCAGGCACACTCTCATGCACTCCCTCTTGCGCTCTCTCTCGCGCATTCTCACCACATTCTCTCTCTCGCGGACTATCACACGCATTCTCTCTCTTGCGCTCCCTCACGCGCTCTCTCATGTGCTCTCTCACGCGCTCTCTCACGCGCTCTCATGCGCCCTCTCGCGCTCTCTCACGCACTCTCTCACGCGCTCTCAAGGCGCACTCTCAGGTACACTCTCACACACTCTCTCTCTTGCTCTCTCTCTCTCTCTCTCTCTCTCTCTCTCTTTCTCTCTCTCTCTCTCTCTCTCTCTCTCTCTCTCTCTCTCTCTCTCGCATTCTCACCACATTCTCTCTCTCACGCGCTCCCTCACGCGCTCCCTCACGCGCTCTCTCACGCGCTCTCTCACGCGCTCTCTCACGCGTTCTCTCACGCGCTCTCTCACGCACTCTCTCACGCACTCTCTCATGTGCTCTCTCACGCGCTCTCACGCACTCGCTCTCTTGCGCTCTCTCACGCGCTCTCTTGCGCTCGCTTACGCGCTCTCTCACGCGCTCTCTCACGCGCTCTCTCAGGCGCTCTGTCACACGCACCCTCACGCGCACCCTCACGCGCACCCTCACGCGCACCCTCACGCGCACCCTCACGCGCTCTCTCATGCGCTCCCTCACGCGCTCTCTCATGCACTCCCTCACGCGCTCTCTCACGCGCTCTCTCACATGCTCTCATATGCGCACACACTCTCCCTCGCGCTCCATCTCTTTCTTCTTCGAATGAAAGTGCAATGCAAGTGGAGATCAATCGACACATTGGAGAGAAAAATAAAATCAAATCAAAACAAAACAAAACAGGACGGAAATTTCAGAAGGGGGAAGGGAGGACGGAAGGACCAGGAACGCACCTGCTAACCACGGTGCCTGAGAAAACAACTCCCGCTCGCGCACCAACCTGCGCTTGCGCTCGTGCACGTGTCGCCGGACGAGACAGCGGAGAGGGAAGGAGAGGCGACGGCGAGGAGTGGGGAGAGGCGACCGCGGGGAGGAGGAGAGGCGACGGTGGGGAAGGAGGAGATGCGACGGCGGGGAGGAGGAGAGGCGACGGCGGGGAGGAGGAGAGGCGACATCGGGGAGGAGGGAGGCGACGGCGGGGAGGAGGGAGAGGCGACGGCGGGGGGAGATGCGACGGCGGGAAGGAAGATAGGCGACGGCGAGGAGGAGGGAGGCGACGGCGGGGAGGTAAGGGAGAGGAGATGGCGGGGTGGATGGGACGGAGTGATTGTGAGGTGGGTTGGAGAGGTGTCAGCGGGTAGTGAGGGAGAGGATACGGCTGGATGGGAGCGAGAGCGACGGCTAGGTGGGAGAAGAACTGGCGAGAAGGGGTGGGGGAGAGGAGCAGAGCAAGTTCTTGTCGAGAAGATTCAAGAACAAGAACCAAGAAAAGATAGCGCCGAATTCGAGCTGTGAAAGAGACGAATGCCAGCGCAGAACGAGAAAATTTCTGCCAGCAGAGCGAGAAAATTTAGGGCGTGTTACATTTTTCATTTTTTTTCGTTCGGACGGCTGGCCGTCCGGACGATTGTGTGGTTACTAAACTCGTTAAATCTCGGCATTGAGTTCGTCAGCGTCTAAATGACGTCGCATTCTTAGTATTGCCTCCTTACGACATTAAATTGGTCGCAACGCGACAATACGACGTCGCAATCTTCGCATTCAGCGACTTCAAAAAATGTAGCACGCCCTTATGCTAGCACAGGAGGAGGGCATTCAGCGATGCCAAACGCCCAACCCGCTATAATAACCTGAAAGAACAATGGAGTTAAGTTGTTGGTGAAAATAATTCATGCTTATAAAAATCACAAAAAGAGCATATATATCTCATAGTTCCACAAATAATTAACAACTTTGAGGGAAGCAACATCTATAGAACATTTCGCTTCATAATAGGGAACTATCGAGCCTGACATGTTTTAAGTAAAAATGAAGAACTTAATTAATTGCTTCTATAAGCAAAGTATAATTATAATGTATGTACTCTATCTTAATGTTTCTAACATAATGTTTCTAATTCAAGGGATACAACTCTACGCAACCCTTCCGACGTAAACGTCGAGACTTGTTCTTATCCCTATTTGTGTGTGAAAAATAAACATTTGAGAAGATTGAAACGAGAATGAATGAACTATGAATGAAGTGGGTACAAGTACTAACCCTAATTGGGTTGTACCCCTTATGGGATACCCCACTACAGCCTACACAAAAGCATAAGCTATAATGTTCTGACACACCCCCATAGGCAAAGTGGGGGAGAACAGGGGGTCACAAGACCAGTCAAGCAAAGCAAGACAAAGCAAAGCTCAGGGTGGATCACCAAGTCACCACACATTCCGAGCACAAGTACAAGGCCACAAGGCAAGTTCACATGCAGGAGTATATATATATATGGCTAGACAAGCAAGAGCAGGTATATATATATGTGAGAGTACAAGCAAGGTCAAGAGGTGAGCAAGTGAGGCAAGACAGGGACAAGACCCAACTGAGTGCAGAAGCGCTGATGATCACAAGGCTGAATTGCCTTGGTGAAAACATCAGCAGTGTTGGCCTCAGAGGCCACGTATGCAAGCCGCAACTGTCCACGCTGCTGTAGCTCACGAGCAAGGAAGTAGCGGAGAGCAATGTGCTTCGTTCTGTGCTCCAGTCGCTGCTCTCGACACAAGGCCAGCATGGCCTTGTTGTCTACGTATAGGACTGGAGAACGAGGCGGCTCTCCGAGGTCAGTCAGCAGGTAGGTGAGCCAGCGAAGCTCCTGTGCAGCCATGGCCCCAGCGTAGATCTCAGCCTCACAAATGGAGCCGAGAACAGAAGATGAGCGAGTAGCCCGCCACGAGACAGAGCCGGAACCAAGGCTGAAGGTGTAACCCTGTGACGACCGCTGCGTAGCCTGGTCGTCAACCCAAGAAGCGTCTGCGTGCCCAGTGAGGACCACTGGACTGCGCCCTCCAAGCACTAGCCCCATGCCCGACGTAGTGCACAAGTAGCGCAACACCCTCTTTGCTGCAGCCATATGCTCTGGTTGGTGTCTCCCAGGAGCAACATAGCGTGCGAGAATGCTAAGAGGGTATGCAAGGTCAGGTCGTGTGCAGGTCATCAGGTACATGAGGCAGCCAACAAGCTCTGGATACGGGCCACTCGACTCTACCGTCTCATCCGAAGGCAGAGCTGAGAGCGAGTGGCGAGTAGGCAGAGGAGTGGCCTAAGGCGAGGAGTACGTGAAGCCGAAGCGCTGAAGAGCCTGCTGCACCATGTGTGATTGAGTCAGCGTAATGATGCGGCGTGCTCTGTCCCGGGTGATCTGCAAGCCAAGGTAGCTGCGCAGTTCACCCAGGTCTGTGCACGTGTGTCTCTTCTGCACCTCGGACTTCACGTAGGCAAGTCCAGCAGTGTCAGCTGTGGCAAAGACCAATTCGTCGACGAACACGAGGATGTAGAACGGCGGCAGAGAGGTGTCGGTGCGTAGAAACAGCGACGGGCCGGCAGTAGAAGGAGCAAACCCAAGAGCCGCAAGTGTAGTCCTCAATGTGTCATGCCACTCACGTGGCGTCTCGCGGAGACCATAAACTGGACGCCGGAGGCTCCACTGGGTACCACGAGGGAAAGACCTAGTGAAGCCAGGTGGGCGGCGCAGCCAGATCTCCTCGTGCAGGCTGCCCTGCAAGAAAGCTGTGCTGAAGTCGAGAGAGTGCAGCTCGTAGTCACGGTGAGCAGCAACGTGCAGCACTACCCAAAGAGTGGTCATCTTCGGGGTGGGAGAGAAGATCCGAAAGTAGTCAACTCCCTGCCGCTGACTGAAGCCACGAGCCACGTAACGTGCCTTGAAGACAGGCGGAGAACCCGGCGGCCGCTTCACCCTGAAGATCCACATGCCACTGACGATGTTCGCCCCAGGCGGGGGAACTTCGTCAACGTAGGTGCCTGTGGACTTCCAGGAAGCCATCTCTGTGTCCATAGCTGCCTGCCACTGAGAGGAGTAGGGACCCTCTATCGCCTCCGTATAGGAGCGCGGAGTCGGGATGTCAAGTGCATCCGGGTCTCCCTCAGGGGTAAGCAGTACGGACACGAGATGAGGTGAAGCAGCTGCCAGACATTGAAACTCCTCCTGCCTGTCCTCAAAGACGTCCGTGCCAAGGGCACACTCACCCCGGACGGACGGAGGACAGACAGACTCAGACTCAGCGATAAGACTAGCAGCGTAGTCTAGGCGACAACGAGCAGCGAAGTCGACGAGCTCAGCAACTAGGGCAAACGCAGCAGTGGACTCAAAAGAAGGGTCAGTGACGACAGTAGCCAGGAGACGCGTGACAGTAGGACTGGGAGCACGAAGAGAGTCCGACTCCGGGTCAGCAAGAGCAGGAAGAGAGGACGCAGGAGGAGAAGGCAAAGGGGCACGCAGAGGAGCAGTGGACGGATGCAGAGACATCCGGTGCGTGCCAGGGACAGGAGGAGGACGCTGACGCGAACCACGACCACTAGCGCGAGCAGTACGGACAGGCGACGTAGGGTGAGACGCAGGCTCACGACGCTCAGCAAGACCTCCAGTAGGACCAGTGTAGGAAGAAGGAGCAGGCAAAGGGGAGGTAGGCTGCAACTGTAACTGTGACGGGACAGGCTGTGGACACACTAAGGGAGGAGGAGCACGAGTAGAAGGTGGAAGACCAAGAACCTGCTGCAGGAGTGGAGCGAAGTACGGTCGAGGCCGCGTGGCGACGTGAGACACAGCAGGGACAGCACTAGTACCCCTAGCAGGAGCGCCCGCTCCAGTAGTACCTCCAGCAGCTCCAAAACCTCCAGCAGCACCAGGAGTACCCCCAGCAGGACCGCCAGCGGTAGTCTCAGCGCCAACACCCTCAGCAGCACCAGCTCCAGTTGCACCCGCAGGCCCAGCAGCTCTAATACTCCCAGTACGAGCACCTCCGGGACCCGCGACAGCAGCACCCTCAGTAACTGAAGAACCTCCAGCACCAGCAGCACGCCTCGAGCGCCGGGAAAACCACTCGCGCAGCTCCCGTGGAGAGAGTGGCTCCCGGCGAGACGAAGCACCCGGAGAACCTCCAGGCGGAGCACCTCCAAGCTCAGCACCCCCAGGCTCAGCACACCCAGGCTCAGCACCCCCAGGCTCAGCACCCCCAGGCTCAGCACCCCCAGGCGCAGCACCCCTTGTCTCAGCACCCCCAGTCTCAGCACCCCCTAGCTTAGCACCCCCAGGCTCAGCACCCCCAAGCCCAACACCCCCAGGCGTAGCACCCCCACGCTTAACACCCCCAGTGTCAGCACCCCCTTGCTCAGCACCCTCAACAGCAGCAGAGTCACCAGTGACCTCGACAGGCTCGACTGCGTCTACGTGGGACACACCTGAAGGGACAGACCCTAAGGGGGGAGGGGGTCTACCGGAGGGGGACCTGGTACATGGAAGAGCGGCGGCGGGGGGGGGGGGGGACGGAGTGCGGTAGGGGAAGAGGCGGTAGTAGGGGACCGACTCGTCAAACGCGACGTCCTAGGAGGACAGAACACGGCGAGAGGTGGGGTGGTAGAACTGCCACCCAGGCGCGTCAGGGGGGAACCCCAGGAAGACGCAAGGAGCAACACGAGGGGACAGCTTGTCCGTAGAAAAGTCGCGGACAAACGCCCGAGATCCCCAGACCCGTAACGCCGACGCATCGCCAACCTTCCCCGTCCACAGCAAGGCTGGGGAGGTCTCCGCCCTGGAGACCCTGGGGTGTAGGTTGATCTGATGCGCCGCGTACCTCACTTCAAACCGCCACAGAAAATGGGGAGCAACCGCATGCATCATGGACGTACGAGCGACGTCCATGACCATGCCAATGCGGCGCTCAGCAATCCCATTTTGCTCCGGGGAGTCCGGAAGCGTCAAGGTCTGACGGATTCCTCGTGCGCGACAGTAGACTCTCAGAAGGCCAGAAGAAAACTCTCCGCCTCTGTCCGAGTGCAGACGCAGAACAGGAAAGTCCGAGCCAAAGCTCTGCCTGAGGTGGAGACGAGCTGCGCGGATCCAGTCGATCAGCACCTAAGTGACATCACCCTTGCTGCGCAAGGGGAAGACTGGGGTGTAACGCGAGTAGTCGTCAACAACGAGCAGGAAGTAGCGCTCGTGACCCTGTCCACGGACGCGGGCTGGGCCCCACACGTCCATGTGAAGCGTCTGCAACGGGGCCTCTGTCGGAGGAAACTGGGAGGAGTGAGGGGCACCCCGCTGGCGCCCCTTGACACAGGGGACACAGGTAGGGCCAGGGCCCTGAGGAAGGGGAGGAAGGGACCGGGGGAGACGTGAAACAAGAAGACGGGAGGCCATGCCTCTGAGCCGAAGCAGAGAGGGGTGACCAAGGCGGTGGTGCTAGAGGAGAGTCTCGTGAGACAGGAGACGACACGAACAGGGGGCAGACTCAGGACCA